AGTATAGTTGAACCAGATGACTAGGTGAGGTTTCCTTTAAAGAAGAAGGTTTGTGGCCAACATAGGTTAAGTCTCAGTGCCTTCAAGCTATCGCTAGCCACTGCAACATGAGTTTGATCTCTGGTTATGGAGCTGACCCACATGATATAGCAGGCCTCTCCTGTCTCACCCTCCGCTCCCCTCAGCAGTGTATTTCAGTAGATCTGCCTGTTCTGCTTCCCACTCTGTCTCTGATGAATCCTCTCACTACCTACATCTGACATGCTCTTAGTTCTTCTATGCAAAAATCGAAAAACAATATCTTTGAATCAGTTACTGTTTCTTTTCTTCTTACTCACCTCCAACCTCTGAGCTATTTAACCTTCATTCACTTCCACAACACACACTAATTTTTCTCATGTATTAAAGTCTCATTGAAATATGTGACATTCAGTTATTCAGTTGCACAGAGGCTTATCCAAACAAATAAAACTGTATTAATGACCAGAAGCATGAAGAAGACTGAGGTGCCCTGAGCAGCCTGACTTGGTAAAAAGTAAAAACAGCCTTGATGATATTGCTTGAGAAGCTCTGAGAAAAGTCTCTCTGGCATCTTAACCAACTCCAGTGACATAAAATCCCAACTTAGAAACTGGTTTGAAGTCCACAACAGGAATATCCTTGGATTCTGTTGAAATTCCATCTCTACTCCTTTAATCAGATCTTAACTCATCTACTTATCATCACAGCTTTCATTCCTGTGTCTGGAAAAAAAGGAAATTATTCATCCAAGGATTCTTGTGATGCTGACATGAGATAGAATATATAGCACACACCAAAAAAATGTTTCATTACATGTGTTGGGGGAAAGGATGTCCAGAACGAACTCTGTAGATACACGTTTTGTGGATTCCACCACATACTCCAGTCATTGAAACCATAACTCCAAAGGGAGGACTGAGGACCCAAGGGCAGAGATATGCAATCATTTTGATACTTTTGGGATATATATAATGGGTCTCTCTCT